GCAGACTCAGCCAGTTGTCCCCCCCAACAACCTGGGTCCTCATTTTACCCACCTCAGGAGGAGGGAAGGCTGAGTCAACCTTGAGCCGGTCAGGATCGAACTGCCGGCAGTCGGCAGAGTCAGCCTGCCACCCCGCATTCTAACTGCTGCCCTATCACAGCTTCTGCGTCTTCAGGCCACCGCCCTGTTTTCCTTCGACAGATTTGTAAAGAATTCCCCATCCCCTCGTAAAACCATCCCAACCCCAAGAACTGCCCCCACCTCACAGTACCTTGATTTTATAGTCATCCCCTCCGGAGACGAAGAGGGGCTGCTGCTTGTGGAAATCGATCCCCCGGACGGGTCCTAGATGGCAAACATAAAATACGGGGAGTCATTGAGAAATCGAGGGACGTGGTAAAGCTTTTCACTGCTTTCTCCACGAAGGGAAAATTGCTCAGTTCCATCTTATGATAGCAATATTTTCCCCCTTGTGATTTTTCTTCTGGCCTACTCTTGCTCACTCCTCCCTTCCGCTGAAATTCAATAAGTGGTATGTATATATATGTGTGTGTGTGTGTGTGTGTATGTGTATATGTATATGTGTATATATGTATATTTTCTTAAGTTTTCACGGGTACTTACATGAATGGTATTCAGCTTTGTTCGGGTATTTTCCCACGTCATTGTAGTCGTGCTTTTAAAGTTGTAGCGACGTTTCGGCAGAATCTCATCTGCCATCATCAGGCTTCATCATCATATATATATATATATATATTCGTTTTGTGAGGTTCTCGTGGGTATTTGTATGTGGATCTTTGGTTATTCGGGTTTTCTCCCGCGTAAGATATAATGTATATATATATAATGTATATATATATTATATATATACATACATATACATACACATACGTACATTCATACACATACATACATACACACCTATATACATATATGATTTAAGTTACTGTCTCTCCTTGAAACAGACCCTCCGAGACCCAATGTTAGTAATTTGTTTTTATATTATCTGGGGGATGGCTCCTCATACTTCATAAAAATAAAAAACTTTGAGGAAAAAAAATAAATTTAGAAGAGTTATTAAACCTGTATTTTGTTTTTAACAAAATCCTGGAGAACATCTATTATAAACTCTGGGGTGTGGCTAGGTTTTTCACTGGTTTTATCAATTCTGATTGTCAGGGGTATACCAAAATAATAACAAAAATATGAAGTATTTTTATTTATTGAGGTTTATAGACTGTTCCAATCCATCAGAAATCTAGCTTCTTTCTTACACTAAAAAGATTAAATTAAAATACGCCGAGAGAGAGAGAGAGAAGAGCAACGATGTTCAATAACAATAAAAGCTACTGAAAAAAGAAATGGAGGGTCACCCACAGCAAAACATATAACATATTTGCTGCATGGCAAATTTAGGGCAGCCTCTCACCTTTTGCGGGCAAGCAGCCTGGCTTACATGCGCCCAGTGTACTCCGCACTTACCATCATGTTCATCGAATTTGTCAATGAGGGTGCACATCCGATAGTCCCAGAGCTGGATCACCCCATTGTGCAAACTCGTTAGGATCCAAGGCCGCTTAGGGTGGAAGCTGAGCCCTGAAGACAAGAGGCAAAAACAATCCTTGTTACTTGGAAGTCAGCTGTTTTTATTTTCCACAGCACAGGCAGAAAACCTGCACAACGTTTACTATACAACACAGGTAGTCCTTTATGGACAGTGTATCGTAATGGAGCCTTAACACTGTAGTGGTAATTTCCGATGGTCGTAATGTGAGGTGGGGTTCCCATGAATGGGCCCGTTTTTATGACCTTTTTTGTAGCAGCATTGACTTCTTAAGCGACCGTCGTGGTGGTAAAGTGAACCCATGGTTCGCAATGGGCCATTTTTGTGGAAAACAAAATTCTGAGTTTCAGTTTTGAGCAAAAACGTCATGAAGCATAATTACATGACGGTGGAGCGCTGCAAAGGACCATCAAGGCAGGCTCGTTGTCAAGTACCCACATAACTGTGGGGGGTATGGACATCAGAAATGGGTCAGAAGCACCTCTGGGGGGAGGGGCTCCATTGCAATTTTGAAGGATCACTAAGTGTCCAGGTGTAAACCAAGGACAAACGTACAACTTTTCTAGGAAGAGAGAGAACAAACCTGAAGGGAGAAGGAGAGGGGTGTGTCTCTGAGTAGCTAGTAGCACCTTTGATTAAGGATCCTAGCCCTTTGGAATAACAAGCAAGAATGTGAAATTCTGATAAGAACTGGCTCAGACAGCGGGGAGGTCTTGCGCAACTCTGAACTTTATGTTTTGACCTGTATATAAAGTGATTTTTTTTAAAAAAAAAATCTCGACTTGTTTTCCATGGGAGACCTCTCCTTTTAGTTATAAGAAGATATTAATCTCCCTAAGCCATCTGGGAAAGCCAAGGGAAATAATCAAAACCATAAACAAGTGAAAGTTAGAATATTTTGGACATGGGATGCCCCCGGAAAAATACGTCTTACTTCATTTAATCTTCCAGGGAAAGATTGAAAGCAGACAAGGTCCACGCAGAAGAGGAACATCATGGCTTCAAAATCTAAAAGACTGGTTTGGACAAAGCTCAGCAGCTCATTTTGCGTGGCTGTTGATAGGATCGCCAACCTGATAGCCAACATCCGGTGACAGATATGGCACAAAAAGAATTTAACTTTCCTACTTGGATCCAAAGGAACACCAGGCTAAGAACTTGACATTCTTTACAGCTAGCAAACCAACTTGCTTAGTAGCTCAATTTCCCCCCTAACTTAGTACGGTACTGGCATTACCTATAATCTATGTCAAGTCTTGGCTGAGGTTGGATTCCCCCAACACAGGTCAGGTGGGGAGTAACAGATCTCGTATAGTTTGTGAATCCAGTTATACGAATTCTTTAACTCTCCATCAGGGCGTGTAGTCAGCCTGCAAGCTAGGGTTTATTACATGCCAGTCTGCCATAATCGAAATCACTCATCGTGCCATCCTGTGAGAGCCAGCGACAGTTGTAAGGTCACATCCTGGAATGCAGCACTATCTTGCCTGCCAAGCCAGGGACTGTTACCAAAACAATCTGTCTGACTGTACCGTAATTGGACAGCAACAGATAACTAAGGAGGGAGAAATGGAAAAGTGAACCAGATGCTTTTGGGGCACAAATCTTTTAAGAGTCGGCTTTGCTATGCTGTAGCCAATTTGCTTAGTAAAGCATACTCTTTGTAGCCGCGGCCTCTTGCTACTGGCTGACAGTATCTTTGCAAAATTACAACGGCACTGTCTTCACTCTACAGATATGCTGATAGCCAAACCCCAGAGGGAGTCATCAGCTGGTTCTGACCAGTTCTGGAGAACCAATAGTGGAAATTTTGAGTAGTTTAGAGAAGCCAATCCCGCCTCTGACTGGCCCCGCCAACCCCATCTATTCTCTGTCTCCCATTGAGTCCCAGCTGATCGACTGAGTCTTCTTTGGTTGCCCTGCATGGGAAGAATGGAGCTGGAAAGCAGGTCAGTGAGATGGGAAGGGTTTTTTTGCAGGAATCTTCCCCTGCCATGCACACCAAGCCACGCCCGCAGAATCGGTAGTAAAAAAAATTGAATCCCACCACTGCCAAACCCCCATAACTTTCCACCTACTTAAGACACATGTGGAAGGAGGAACACTTTATTGCAGTGGTGTCAAACTCAAGGCCCGTGGGCTGAATCCGGCCCGCGGGTTGCTTAAATCTGGCCCACAGTACTGGCCTGGAAATATCAAAGGACTGGCCCGCGGGGCCTTTGCCGGCCCAAACCAGGGAAGTGCTGCAGGATGCCACGGAGGCCAAAAACAAGGTGTTGGGGGCCTGTGCGCGCCCCGCCCCCCTCCGCACCCGTCTTGGCCAGCAGGGTGCTGTAGGTGTCTGTCTGCCCACCCGCCCCCACTGGCCTGCAGAGGAGAACCACAATGCTGATCCGTCCCCTCGACGAAATCCCGTTTGACACCCCTGCTTTATCGCTCTCATGTTTTTCATTGTTTTAATGGTTGCATAGTTTTTCCCATAGTAACATCACTGTCACATCAGCGGCCGGAGACCTTGACAAATGAAAGACTTTACCATGCTAGACATTGATTCAATCCATACGCACAAAAGCAACATTTTGGCCTTGGGGAACTCAATCAAGAATGCGGCCTCCTGACCACCAAACTTTCCTCCCACGAAATCTTTTTTACAGAGGTTTCCAGTCCTCTGCAAAATCTGCTTCAGGCGGATTCTGATGCGGTTTCTTGCTTTGTTGCAGCCTTATGGAGCGCTGGGGGGTGGGTGGGGGGAACAACTCCGTGTTTCTCCAGCTGGGCCTCTGAAGATGGGTCGACTACAACTCCCAGAGTTCCCTAGCCAGCACAGCAAAGCTGCCTGGGGGATTCTGGGAATTGAAGTCCGCCCATCTTTAAAGTATGCAGTCTGGGGGATTCTGGGAGTTGTAGTCGACCCATCTTCGAACCCTGGAACCACCGAAGATAAAGAAGAGGCCTAACTCGTCTTCTGCTCCGAATGCAGCGGGGCAGGGATCAACCTCTCCCCCCCGCCCCAACCCCGCAGGGCCCTGACTAGGACCCTTTTAGCGGTTTTCCAAGCCAGCCGGGAGATCCCCGCCCTCAGCCTCGATGCCCCCACCCCCCCGGGTCCTAACGCCGCCCCTCGGGCGCTCGGCCTACCTTTCACGCGGGCCGATTTGGTCTCGAACTTGGTGAGCATCTTCACAACGTCCCGTCGCCTCTTCAGCTGCTGCCGCCGCCGCCGCCTCCACGTCACCGCTGCCGGGACGGCGCCCACTCCTCCACTTCCGCTTCCGGCCAGGGGACCAGCGAGAGGGAAAAGAGCGGCGAGGCTGCGCGCTCCCTAGCGGAAGGAGGAAGGAAGACGCCAAGCCGACGCTCTTCTCACGGGAACCGGAAAGAACCGCCGCCCGGGATCATAGAGACGCGGCCGCCGCCCTAGAGGGTCCGCCCGGAGAGGAAGCGGAAGTTGCCGGCAAGATGGCGGCTATTGAAGAAGAGGAGGAAGCGGCCCCTTGCAGCGGCCGGAGGATGAAGGCGGCGACGGTGGGGCTGTGGCTCCTTCGTGGAGTCGTCTTGTGCGCCCTGGCGCCGGGTGAGGCCCGTGGGGAGGGGTGCGATCCGGGCCTAGTGGGACGGAATGGGGGGGGGGGAGCGGAGGGCGGGGACTCTGGAGCGTCGTCCCCAAACGGTTGCCCTCCGGAGAGGCTGGACTCCAGCTCCCATGGTGCCCAGCCGGCCCGGTCTGGCTGTTGAACAAGCCACGAGGGTCTCCACGGGGACTTCTAGGAGGCAAACGGTGACTTTGGGGTAGTCCTTTCTCTCTCCCTTTCTCTCTCTTTCTCTCCCTCTCTCCGGCCAGCCTACGTCGCAGGGCTGTTGTGCTCGTGGGGGCGGGGGAAGGAGGGAGGAGTATTCGGTATGTTTTACACCTTCAGGCCCTTATAAAGTTAATAAGATGGGATAAGAGTGATGGCTGGCTGGCTGGATAGATAGAAAAAAATGGGTGGATAGATAGAAGATAGATAATAGACCGGTGATATGTAGATAATCTGAGAGATAAAAAGGTGATAGTGATAGCTAGTTAGGAAGATAGGCAGATTGATAGATTTGGTAAATAGATAATAGATAACTGATAGATACATAGATGGTACATAATAGATTATACATAAAAGACAACTAAGATCGATACAGGCATACAGATAGATATGGATAGATAGATATGGATAAGTGTTAGAGGTTTCAGAGATGATAGATGAGTAGATAGGAAGATGGATGGATGGATAGATAAATATAGATACAGATAGGTAGATATAGAAACTAGATGGATACTGTAGATAGATATAGATGGGTAGATAGACAGATACAGATATGCAGATAGATATGGATAGGTGTTAGGTTTTAGAGATGATAGATGAGTAGATAGGAAGATGGATGGATGGATAGAGATAGATACAGATAGGTAGATAGATGCAGAAACTAGATAGATACTGTAGATAGATATAGATGGGTAGATAGACAGATACAGATATGCAGATAGATATGGATAAGTGTTAGAGAGGTTTCAGAGATGATAGATGAGTAGATAGGAAGATAGATAGATACAGATATGCAGATAGATGCGGATAGATAGATATGGATAGGTGTTAGAGAGGTTTTAGAGATGATAGATGAGTCAAAAATTAGACCCTCCCCAGGGCTTTGTACAAAGATAAGGCACTTCCATCCAGCCTGACGGGATCTGGAGTCTTTACCAATGTTGGGCTTTCAAGAATCTCAATAGAAGAGAGCCTGGGTTTGTGCTGTTCGGGATTAGCCGAGCTGGAGTCCCAACTGGTGGGGAGGGTACCAGTTGAAGTGAGCTGTGTGGAAACTTCAGAAAGAGACGTGGGTTTGGGGTATCTGAGGGACCTCAAAGGTCTATGCGGGACTTGATGGAGTGCAGCGTTATGCCCAACCTGGGATGCTTGGCTTTGGGTGGCATCTCCATTCAGGGCCCGCTTTGTGACCAAGGCTGGGCTGTCCACTTTCTCAAGTGCGAGTTGAAGCTGCGTGTAATGGTTCTGGTGCTTCTGGTTGGTCACGTGCCTGCCTAGAAACTTGGAGGTGGCGAGTTATAGTTCTGCCTTAGGCATGAAAGCTCGAGTCTGATACACCCTCTCGACCCAGCCCACCTCACAGGGTCATTGTTATATTGTTGAGAAAGGAGGAAGACAAAAGAGCATTCTCTGCCGTAGGTTCGCTGCCTTGAGTTACTTATAAAACTAATAAAGATGGGATAAAAATAGTGGTCTTTAGCAATGGCCCCCCCTCATTTTATTTGTTTGTTTGTTTTTGCTTTGGGGCTCCAGGTTTGCTGTTTTATTTGCAAGAATGGTTTATTTGCAATATGTGGACTTTTGCTGAGTTTATAAACATGGACTAAATTTACCTAGCATCTTTTAAACAAGATTTTTATTGTTGTATCATATCCTTTGTTCCCAGGCATTTACTATGATGTAATATGGATGTGATGATGGCTGTTTAAATAGAAATGGGGGCGAGGGGGCAGAGGGAGAGAGGTTTCCTAGCTTCAGTATCTTAGTAAAGTATTCTAAAATTCCTTTTGTTTTGGGAGGAAGATAAAGGACAATTGGTTGAGCACAAACTGGTAGCTTGGTAACAGACTGAAGTTTTGGTAAAAACTTTTTGGTAAAAAGATAGCCATTCTGAAAGTAGAATGTTAATAGCGAGTCTTAATACTTGTACTTAATACTTTATCAATGGTTAGGTAATAAAACTTAATAATAGAATATTCAGATTTAGCATAAAAAAAAATTTTTTCTTGATATTATCTTTATAAAACATCAAGATAGATTTGGTATGATCTTATGATTTATTGCCAATTAAACTAAACTCTAGTTATCTCGTTAAAATATGAATTAACAAAATTATAGATAAATGATTTTTTTTAGTGATGATATTAGGTTATACAATTATTGATTGATAATATGAGCTATTATGTAATATAATTATATTAGTGACTAGGAAATGGATGCACAAAAAAAAGTGGTAAACCAATCGATGCGCTGTTTGTAAATTCATGAAGAAGGATGATATTTTTATGTTTTTTGTGGTATGTTTATGTTGTCTTGTTAAAATAAAAAAAAATTTTATAAAAAAAAATACTTGTACTTAATACTCTAAGTAGAATGTAAATAATGAGGAAAAATCAGCTGGTATCAGTTACAACTTGCACAACTTGAGGTATTTGTACTGTACTCAGTTGTTTTGATATAGGTATTTGGTCATGGAGGACATTTGCAGGGAAGAATTTATCCCCTCTGGTTCAGTTCTAGTTTTATGCCTCCAAATGGGCAAAATCTCAGAAATCTTTATTGCTCGATTTGGAGCTAGAGGGTTATGAAACAAGATTTCAGGTTCTGCTTAATGGTTGACTTAAAGCCTTATCCAAATGAGTGCGCCTAAATGATTTATGCTGTTAATATTTTTATTTACACGGCTGTCGTATTCTCACTCCTGGCCTGGATCTTTCCTTCCACCCTTCTCCTTGCTTCAAAGTCTATAAGGAATGGAGGTTGGGCCTAAGGCTACGCATTGGACTTTGTATTCGGTGGTTGGTAAATTCTGGCCGTTGAAATCCACCAAGCTTGCATGAACACTTGGTCAATCTGGTCTGCCTTGCCAGCACCAGAGCAGGATATTCCTGTTTTCTAGGCACTTTTTTTTTTTTGCTATTAAATCTTATCACTTTTTATGCAGGTTCAGGCCGGTGTAACTCTGTGGAGAAGAAAATCTACATCCCGCTGAATAGAACAGCCACCTGTGTCCGTCTCCTGAATGCCACTCATCAAATAGGCTGCCAGTGTGAGTGCTGTGTTGAAGGAGTATTTCCTTGGGGGGGGGGCACTGCCTGCCACTCATGTCTAGTAAATAGGCAGGGCAGGTATGGGCCACAGGTAGACTACCTGCAGCTCCAAACCCTTTTTGATGGTCCCTAGAGCCCTCTATGTCAGGGGTCTCCAACCTTAGCAACTTTAAGGCTTGTGGACTTCAACTCCCAGAATTCCTGGCTTTGCTGGCTGAGGAATTCTGGGAGTTGAAGTCTACAAGTCTTCAAGTTGCCAAGGTTGGAGACCAACTGCTCTACGTCGTGCCAACGGAGTTCCAAAACACAGAGACAACGTAGAACAATAATGCTTCCATTTTTTTTCCAACCTTTCTTGCCACGGTTGCTAAGTGAACTGCTGCATTTGTTAAGACAGTGACCTGGTTGTTAAGTGAACCTGGCTTCCCTATTGACTTTGCAAAAGGGAAATCACGTGATTCTGGGTGTTTTAATATCTGCAGAAGCTTAAAGGGGGCTATTTTGTCCTTCACCCCTAAATGGGGACCAGTGGCCAAGTTTGGGGAGAATGCCATTGGCCAGTGGTTGCCATTTAGAGATACATGAATGAGTGCCCTGACCTCGCAGGAGCCTGAGAAGGGGCCTCTCCCTTGTGAAAGGGCTCTGGGTGCTATAAAACTTGTTCAGAGGCTGCTGGTTGTGGGTGTGGGGTGTGCAATTCGTGCCCTCCCCACCCCAAATGTCCTCGGCCTGCCAGGTCTGACCTATTACCTTTTGCAGAGGTGGCTTACAATAGTTCTGTTCACGGGGGCACTGGTTTCACCCCGTTCAAGGCAGCTACAGGTCAGGATTTTGTACCCATCCCAGGAGAAACCCAGTGTCCCATCCTTGACAGAGTGGATCACCCAACTCCAGCTTACCTGGCCGGTTACCTGTAAAGCATTAGATGATGCTCATCAAACACACAAAAAACAAGCAGACAAAAAGAGTGCTCCACAAAAACCGTACCAAGTGGGTGATAAAGTCTTCTTGTCCACTAAGTATTTACAAACAACCAAGAAATCTAAAAAAATATGGGACCTTTCCCAATTGTACGGGTTGTGAATCCTGTTGCTGTGGAATAGGATAGGATAGGATAGGATAGGATAGGATAGGATAGGATAGGATAGGATAGAATAGAATAGAATAGAATAGAATAGAATAGAATAGAATAGAATAGAATAGAAC